GTTGATTTGTTCATTTGTGCCGTGCAGCCTGAGGGCCGAAAGACGAAAGTGATGTATTGCCATCCGTGATGCACGTGGAGTCGAAATTGAAATACTTTGCATTGGAGGCGGCGAGGGGCTAAGTATTTGCGGTTTTATACATTAGCGCGCGCGCTTGTTTGGGTCAGTGATCAATAAACATCGGCGATTCAGTTGCCGAATGCCCGCGGCTGCATGCTCGGATGTGAGATAATAGAATTAATATGTCTCCGAGCGCGCTGGACTTAGAAAGCATTAATTGCACGCAACGCGCAATATCTTACCCGGAATGTCCACCTTTGCGGGCAAAAGTTTCAAATTCCTCGAGAGGCCGCTCTTAGAAGGGGAAATTGAAAGAAGTGCAATACCTGCGCGCAGCTACTTCGGACAATTCCGCTTCTAGCTTTGCGCGTCCAGACGGAAGGTTGAGGTCACGTTATGAATTGATATCCGGACGCCGCCAGCCGCTAGTAAGAGTTTCTAATTGATGGCTTTGCGCGGAGACACCGGGATTACGGCATTCTTGCCGACATTTCGAGCGCGATTATTCGAATGTCGATGAGCATCTCGAAGGTGGAAGCTGGAAATAGTTGCGCGACTCCAACGGTCCGAAAATGTCAGCAGCGCACAAAGTCCGCTCTTATTGATGAGGCAAATTATGCGCAATATTGATATCAACCGAGGAACATTCGAAAAGTCATCGGGAATATTTGCAATAACACCCGCCGCGAAGATGCCGACTGTCCAGGGACATTAAGGATTAACGCTGGGAATGTCGAGATATATTGGATGTCAAAGGAAAGCCAAGGGAAGTTTACTAGTGGACAACATGTAATCTAGGGATTGTGCTTTGTTTCATTTCGAGTGGGAGACTTGGGATAAGTTAAAAATTAATTTTCTCAATTTGAAATTTTTCAATTTGAAATTCCAGGAACTAAACGACAATTAAAATGGAAAACTGCAACGCAGAAGGCCGAAGGACGCAAAAGATGTGCAACCTAATAAAACAGGTTAGCAGTTCGTTAAAATCGTTAAGAAAACGTTGATGATGACTTACCCGGCGTATATTTTCATTTCTGCGTCAAGTAAATCGAGATGAGATTGAAGGCGCTGAGTCTCGCGAACAAATCGCTCGAAGCAAGCCGGGAAAATTCTAGGAAACTACGATGCTTGGCCAGGCAAAGCGTAAATACGTTATAAACAAATTAGAAAAGTTTTAATTTTCATTTATTACGGCGTCGCATTTATTTGTTTTATTTTCCGCTTTCGACTTAGCCTTAAAAATTCACGGAGTACATTTCAGTTTTGTGTATTTCTTATTTTCTATAAAGTAGTGCAATATTTTTTATGCTAATTTTGTTTCGATTTGTCATCCTTCATTAGTCGCGACCTTTCGGGTGCACGTGGAAACTTAGCTGCTTTGTGCTACGGCTCAAAAGAATGAAGTGCAAAAGCGGTGGGCAAGTTAGAAAAATGCGAGAGATTGAAAGAAGAAAAGCAGAGAATTCCATGAAAGGGTTGAAAATAGCTTTATTCCGTGGCAAAAAGAAAGTAAAAATCTTTGATAAAGTCTTTAATTACCCAGGCGTTTCTAATCTGCTGAGAATTAACGAGATAAAGCTCTATAAATATTTAAGATTTTAACAATAAATAAGATAATCATTTGATTTTGTTACAAAAAAATTAAATCGATTTGTGGATTGCCAAAACAGGAAAAATGATGAATATTTTTGTCACTGACATTTTAATTTGTTGAAAATTCTTGATAAACCTTTGAAAATACACTTTGAAGTGACTTGCTTTCTGCGAGTGCACGCGAGAAAAATCAATGCCTCGCGCGCGCGAATCCTTTCCCTTGGCATGCTCCTAAAAAGGGGTTTGATGATGACATAAGAATGGAAGTAAAATTTGAAGAAAGCCGAAAAGAGGAGGAAAAGGCTTAGAGGAGCTAGTTAGCGGGCGCGCGTTCTTTGTGCGTCCGGACGCGAGGGCGTCTTCAAAGCGCGCCCTTCATCGATCACACGCACGCAAAAAGGGTTGGACCTGCCCCGGCGAATCGATATCTTCTCGCACATGCATGCATGACAAGCGCGCGGAAAAAAGCGAACAATCATTCGCGTAATGAGGAAACAGTGAGGCGAAACAACGGACACATATTGATATTGAATGCGGGAGGAAATTGAATGCACGCGGAGAGTTGCGGCGGCGGCGAAGGAAAGGCGCAAAGGAAATGGGACGCTCCTTTTTCCGGAGAGCGCGTATCTCGACGGAGGAAGGAAAAGCGAGCGCGCGGTGAGCGATTCACGCCGCGACGCATGACGTCTTACGGATATGTGTGCGGCTAAACGGCGAAAAGCGGCGCAAATCACGTGCGAAGCGCACATTAGTGCAAATAGAAATAGGAATGGAACATAATAAGGAGGCACGGAGGTAAATTAGATTCTCATAACTGAAAATTTATTTCGCTTCGGTTAAGCGAAAACATCAAATTGCTCTTCGAAACAAATTTACGTTTCGCTATAGTTTGACTATAGGAAAACATCTAATAGTCAAAACAGCAAAACAAATTGGGTCTACGATAGTTGTAATTAATGTTCCGCCAATAATTGTATTTAATTAACAGACATTTATCGATTTTTGCGCCTTTTTTGTTGATTTTAAAAAGAACGCCCAGTGAAAAATGAATACCATCATGCATTAGTCGTACTTGCTGTATAATTGTGTGTATGTGTCGGCGAATGAGTTTAAGAAGGCGGCGTGGGGCGGCGGGCGCGAGGGGGACACAAAAAACGAAAGCTCACGCAAGAAACACGAGAGGCAGCGCATCGCGCGTCGCACATCGCAGTGGGCCGCGGAAAGAAATTTAAAAGCTCCTTCGCCCTCACTCGCTCGCTAAGACTAAACCTCGCCGCCGTCGCCCGCACCCACACACCCGCTCACACTCGCGCACGCAGATGCATGCTAACTACGGACGCTAACGAACGAAGTGCGAGGCGCAAAATAAGGAAATGAGCGCCACATGCACACACACACACTGAAGCTAGCCGCGCGCAAGGCGCACACAATTTTAATTCCCCGGTGCGCGCGCGGGTGGCGGCGCGGCGCGGAGGCGGCTCGTGCGCGAGATAAGGCGCGAAGGAGGCGAGCGAGCGAGCGCGTCGCGTCGAGCGTAATCGTAATGCATAGCTCATCAAGCCGTCGACGTCGTCGTCCTCGCCGGCCTGGTCCGCCGCCCCGCGCGCCACCACCTCCGCCCCCGCGCCGTCCCGCTTGCCGCGCGCGCTTCTTTTGCGTTTCTTTGCATGCACACGTACATAGATATATCTGGGGGTTTCTTTCGTTTCGCGGGTGGGCTCTCTCCGCTCATTAAGTCTCGCGTATCGATCCGAGGCCGCGCCGCTCGCCACCCCGCGCACCCCGCACCTTCGTGCCGGCAAACAACTCATGTACATACGAGTGTGCCGGCGCGGTATTTATTCCGTTTCGAAGACGCGAATTAAAACAGGCGCGCGTGGCCAACAAAAATCGCACGACGACGGTTGCCACTCCCGGCGCGCGCACCCGCCGCTAAACCGGCGCAACGGGCGCAACATATACCCAACTGGCCGCTTCTTCCTTTACCAAAATCACCAGTGATTCATAACGTCTTTCCTACGCATCTTAAAACTTTAGATGAAAAAATTTTCCGTTATTTAATGTATAACAACGTATTTTAGCAAAATTTTTCAAAAATAATACAATTAATACAAAATAGAAGACTCGTACGGAATTTAAATTAATATGCGCATGCGCTTAGATTTGGTTGTTCAAAAGATGTAGAAGTACGAATACAATGCACAAAAGTTAAGTAAACTTTTTCCCGACAAGTAGCTGCGTCGCAAAGTGCAAATAAGGAAAGAAAGCACGGCCGCGTTGCATGCGAAGAAGAGTGGGTGGTGTTCGACGCGCTCATCCCTCTCGCGCGCACCATCCCACATCCTTCACCCCTCATTTCTCATTCCTCATTTACACCGCTCACACGCGCGCTCCGGACTTCTTTTCGCATTTAACTTCGCTCCTTTCCATTTCAGTTTAATTTTTTTCTCCGTCGCTGTGAAGCGGAAAGAAGTTGCGCACACACGCCGCATATCGAGGACGAACGACATGCAACGCCACTTAAAATTAAAACAAACACAAACATACGAGTTATATAGCTGCTAAGTAAAGCCGAGCAAACTGCGCGTCAACATTGCGGGATGAAGGAAAAAAGGCGAGACGCAATGGGAGCGAAGGAAGCGAACGCGACGAAGAAAAGCGGGAGGAAAAATAATTTAAGAATAACAGCGCGTCTTGTGCTGTTGCGGTGGTGTTGCCGCGTCATTTTCACTATTTCAACGTGCACGCTAATAAACAACATGTTATTAGCATAATTTAAAAATACTGCCGCTCTGCATTTAAAACCGACTAGTTTGAAATGTGTTTTACAAAAGATAAATCCGAGAAATTCATTTCGAGCATACAAAATTAATATCCATTTCCACCGCCGGGCAATATTTATGTTATCTTCAGCACTTATTAATTACTTATAAGTGTACGCAAATATTTATCTCAAAACTTCCAGCGTCTTAATCAGGTGCAAGTGAATCTAAGTCAGTATTTGCTCGAGTGCGTTTAGACGGGTACATATTGAAACATGCTTAGGATAAATATATAACTTAGATTAATTTTGCCAAAAAAGTATTGAGCTATAGACCTCTGGATGAGCTGGCAGCTTAAGAACATTTGTTATTAACAAATACAACACAAAATTTACTTCACAAAAATAAAATAATAACATTTTTGAGTGTTAAATTTTAGTTCCTTTAACTTACATACAAAATTTATTTAGGTAATAACTAATTGTTGAGACTGCAAATGTAAAACATTACCTTCATGAACTTTCAAAGTTACAAATTAATTCACTTTGTGAACACGTTAGCGACCTCTACGAGTGAAACTAGGTACCAACTCGTCCTGCAGTCCTGCTGATTGCGCTCGTGTGCGCTCCAACCTCAAATTATATTTACTAAGTGTAGTGCAGATTTTTAATTTAAAAATAGGAAAATTACTCACAATGAGTAAATACGCGAAATATTCTCATCTAATCCAACAAACCACTGAGTACGCGCGTCGCATGGACCGTCTCAGCAAGCGAATATTCGGTGAAGTCGCCCGGCCCACAAATTCCAAGTCCATGAAGGTGGTGAAACTCTTCTCTGCAGAACCATTCAATCAACGCAAGGATATCCACGGATACTACCCTAGGCACCCTGAGGTAGGTCGCCTTATGATGAACCTGCGCTTGTATGGGTTGTATCGTGACGAGCACGCCGATTTCAATGATGAGATGAAGAGAATGAGGGCACTCAGAGGCAAAGCACCACCAGTGCATGAATTCAAACATCCCAAAAGGAAGGCGTTATTTAAACACAAATTAAGTTATATTAAATTGTAGTAATATTGTTATTAAATAAATTTGTAAACTAACTTAGGTATGGATATTTAGGTGTTTGCTTCTTATACATTACATACTTATTTAAGTAAATTTTTATTAAGAAAATGGCATGAAAGTATTCACTGACTCATTTTTGATACTTTCCGGCCTACATATTAGAAAATGTGGAAAATTACCACCGTTTTACAACTCCTGCTTGTTGGGTTTGCGCTTTCCCGTCTCCCCTTTGAGTTTTCATTAAGACAGCTGACATCTTGCCCTTTCAGTGCTCGATCTGCACATAAATATTGCTTCAAGGATTGTTTTCCTTGATGCTTGAAGTACCAGTCTTCAATATCTGCCTCATTTTGCTCCAGTAAAGTCTCACACTGGAAAACAATTACATTTCTGTACAAAAATGCACAATTTTTCTCTTTAATGCTCACCTGATTCTTCATATTGGTGATTTCCACACTTGGTTTGTCCCACAGCTCATAAGGAATGCCTAATTCCACCTTAACTCCTTTGTCCACCAAGCCATGCAGTGTTTGGAATGTTTGACTCATACCCTTTGCAAATCTAGTGCTATCCTCGCGCTCCTTGTGAATATTATACTGCAGAATACGGTCGCAAACGCCCTCTAAAGACTCAACTAATCTCAGCTCAGATTTCTGATATTCAGTCTTCTTCTTTGGTTTGACATCATCTACAGCATAGCCAGTCTCAATCACTTCGTGTGTCTTGCCGGTCTCCTCCAGGCGATCTTGCAGCTCCACTGCTAATATTTTGCAAACTGTGAAGAAGAATAAAGTGAGATAAACAAGTGTCAGCTTTTAGAGGTTACACTTTACCTTCACATCTATTCGCGTATTTCACGCCTTCGTCCTCTTCAGTAACGCTGGATACGTGCGCAATCCAGACGACGATTAAAAGAAGACTCAAACGCATCTTTTCGACATCATCTTGGAAGACAAGTATTTAAACTACGTGTTTCTGGGCGTAGCGATTAGGATAAGTGAGTAATGACGATTCGATGTACATGTATAACAGTCAGTCTGTGTGACGAGCTGTTTGTTGATGAATTAAAACATATAAACATTTTAGCAATCAACAACCGGCACTAGTGATAAACTGAATAAGGATAACCATCAAGGTGAATAACTTGCATTTCTACAACTTCTGCATATCAGTATAGTGTTCTTTGTAAAGCCGCTAGAGAGCGCTACCGTCATCGAATCTTTGTTTCATTCGTCAAATGTTGGTTATCGGCTGCACACAACATTTTCACAACGGTTTTCCTTGAGGGTTACCGTCGAGTTGAGTAAGTAAATTGCAAATAACTCTTTTGCGGTCCCCGCAGTCATATTATTTGATTGTAAATGCATTATTACGCTTTTATTCATGCGCCCCGACAATAATATACTAACATTCAATTAACCCCACGTAAAACATTTACAATGTGATATATTGATAATATAATAAAGGTACACACACAAATTTGTTGAATGGTTTGCTAGAGGTGTAATAGCATTCAGGCAAGACACACTAAGCCTTGTAGTACATATTTTCATGTAGTTTTCAATGGTTGTTAGAAAACTCCAGAGTGCCATTTCGGCTAAGGCCTTGACACAGGATTTTTAATTCCGGAATTAGTTTGCACGCAGAGCGCGGTTTGGTCACATTGATCGAAGTAGCAGGCTCTGTTTCTACCACCGACACTGAATTACGGTCACGGAAGTGCCGGAAGACAGACTGTTTCTTTGGTTTCTTCTGTACAGGAGCCATCTTCAATCAAATTTTATTCGGTGATCAAAAAAATTACTGGCTTTTAGCGCTAATTGTGATTTGACACTGCCATAAATTTGTTTATTTACAAAGCCTGCTTTTTGCCTATTACAAACTAAGCGTGTTTGTTTATTTATAGTATACGCACGTCCAACCGCATGTGACTTGCTGGCGAAGCAGTTTGTGTAACAAAATTTTGACAAACGGTTTATGTACGTTGCAAGCATGGGAGTAATTTTTAACAGAAACAATGACGTATTCATTAAGTTCCAAATACCCGAACAAGTGCAACTAAATCTTAAAAATTAATAACGAAACACGCCGATGGTATTTGGGGATCATCATTACTTGATGAATACAGGTATTTATATATGGAAGATTAATTTCATTATTTTCATCTATACATAAACACAATTTCAGTAAGCTGTTCAACGATGAATTGTTGTATAGGCACTATGGTTATGGCTCTGTTCTACACATGTGTAAGGAGATAGACTACATATTTTCTGTTGTCAAACACTTCAAAGGAGATTTCAAACTGTTTTCTGCTGATTCCAATATACCAGAAACTCTGACAGTTACCATTCCAAGATTCAGACATGATGTGGTTCAAGGCCACACAATTATTCCGCGCCTTCAGTTAGATACAACAAAAGATAAGATAACTGTTAAGGTGTGCCATGTTTATGATCTGACTAAGTTTTGGTTCCATACTTCTGACATTGAAAAGAAGTTGAGTGACCTTACTAAGCAGATGAATGAATTTTATTCATCTAGTACAAAGTATTATCAAATTGCCACATATAACATGAGGAAGGGCTTATATTGTGCAGTACTGTATGGCAAGCAGTTTCACAGGTGCATTATTGTAGATATGTTGCCTGAATTAACTGATAGTGTTAAAGTTTTCTTCATTGATAATGGAAAAACTGATTACGTAAATGTGAAAAATATACATTTTCTGCATGAGTTGTTCCAAGAACCAAATGCTATGGCTTTAAGAGGTAATTTAACACAGGTAAAACCAGTGGGACTAAATATGCCATGGCCACCAGAAGCTGTGAAAGTATTTGAGTATTTGGTGATGCAGAAAAGCTTACAGGCAATTGTAACAGAAACCAAGGAAGTGGTAAGTTAAGATTATCAATATATTTTTTATTATACCTGAATATAAATTTATTAGGAAAGTGGCGAATATGAATATTCTTTAGATCTTAGTGATCGATCAACAGAAAAATGCGTTTGCATTCATGAAGAACTGATTAATGCTGGACTTGCTATTGACATCAATCAGAAACAAGACGAGGCAAAAGTAACGAATACTTTGCTCACAATGATAAGATGATGCATTTAGTGCCTTCATTTGAAGAATTAGAGTCTGGGTGCGTTCCTAACAGAGAAGACTTGAATATTTTATATCAGATGAAATATCCTCTGCACCAAATTATGCAGAAATTCATTCTTCACTAATGATTTTATGTTTTTTGGATAATTTTTATGTTTGTTTGAGAATTTTTATGTTTTTTGGAAAATTTTTGTTTTATTTTGAACTGTTTTGAATTTGAAACTTTCTTGCAGAAGTTTTGATCCGTTACTGTAATAAATAAAATTTAAATGCTTCCTTGACAAGTTTTAATTTGAGCAATTGCTCACGTTTTTATATATTTTAACAACAATAAATTAAAAATACTTCGTAGTGCGCGAAATGAAACATTTGCGCTAACATCGGATATAATAACACGCGAATAAACAAATGTCGAAACGCGTGTAATCTGAAAGTAAATTTAAACAACATGCTAATTCCGCACGGTCGTCATCAGCTGCTAAGCGTCGTTGTTGCGCGTGTCGTTATCGTACCACGACTTGCGATTGTGATGATTATTTGCAAGCTCGTTGCTGTATTGGATCATATTTTGCTGAAGGAGTGGAATGTCCGTTTCGTTCATCATGCGCGAATCGGGCAGGACATTGATGTGACCGTCGCCTACATCATCGCGAATATCGAGATCGTCAAGATTGATCATGGACTTGAGCCGGCGGTACACCTCTGGATCAAGATTGAGTAGAATTAGTTTGCGTTCAGCTTTGAACACCGTTACGATTTCCTTCACTGCCTGACAAGCTGTGTAATCGATGCTGATGATTGTACGGAAGTCCAACACAATTGGGATTTCTTTGTTACGGTTGGCGATTTTGATGATTTCCGTACGAAAGTATCCGGACGCTGGGTAGTAAAAGCCTAGTTCGGGTTTGATGAGTAGATATTCGTTATCTTTCCCGCACTGTAGTGAAAACATCTTAGCGTTTGATCGAAGAGCTTTAGAGTGCAAAAACTTACGGATCTCACTTCTGCGAAGACCTTTGGCCGCGCCCAGAACTGCATTAGTTTCAGAAGTGCTAGACAACTGCCGATTGCAAGACCGATCTCTACACCGAAGTAAAGACTTAGCAAAAAGGTCCCGAAACCAATCCAGAAATCAAATTCTGAAAAAATAAAGTTTTCATAAACATGAGGATTCTAAAATCCTGTGGAGGTGTGCTTACTATTGTTTCTCCATAGTTTCGGAAGCTCCTGATACTCAATCATGAAAAGACCGCGCAAATAAGAACTGCAGCGATTGTTGCTTTAGGAATGACCTTAAAGCATGGAGTGAGATAACTAAGGGCTAATAGGATCATGGTACCCGCGTATAAACCACCCATTGGAGTCTGCACGTGGCTAGCTTCATTGACAGCGGATCGCGTAAACGCACCCGTCGTTGGCATTGATCCTACGAAGGATCCCAAAATATTCGACACACCCAATGCTATCATCTCCTGCGCCGCGTCGAACACAGATCCGTCGGCTATAATAATATACTTTAGTTTGGTTTCGAAATCTATGAGTTCAAAACTTACAGAATTTCTTTGCAATTGCAACGTTGGCTAGGGTGGCAACCACAGGCACCACGATAATACCGTAGCCGAGGGTGTGGATCATTTCCGAGAAGGTGGTGGTGTCGGTACCGTTCGTGATACTAAATGCGGGCATTTGGAATGCGGGCAAACCCGGTTTGACATCACCCGCCAATTTAAAGGCTTGTCTTCCTACAGACTGCGAATAGAGGTACGCGACCAAAGAGCCAAGAATCACTGTAATCGCATTACGACATATTCCCAAAACCACAACGCTTTGTTCGTCCTTGGATTAGCAAAACGCATTGCGGCTAAGCGCTGAAAAACAATGATTAATTTCCATTAACTACGATCGGTGATAACACAATCAATTACCTTGAGTGCAATTAGAAAGAACATTGATCCAAAACCCAGGACCGTATCGGGAATACTCAGGTACTTCACGTGCGTAAACAGTTTAACGATCAAGTCGAAAACCCCGTGGTTCTCGAAGCGAATACCGAAGATATTCTTAAATTGCGCGATCATAATCACCAGCGCTGTGGCTGAAGTAAACGCTGACGTCACCGGCGACGGGATGAAATCCACAACGAAGCCTTGAAGTGAAAAGTTGAAAAATCAGGTTACGTAAGGTCCAAGGTATAAGTTTTCACCTAAATTCAGCACGCCCATCAACATTTCAATGCATCCGGATAGGAAGGTCAGAAGGATCACGTATTCCATTCCTCTTCCCTGCACATACGTGAGAGTCAACAAAGATAATATGCTACTAGGTCCAATGGACACTTGCTTTATTGTGCCGAAGATGATGTAAGCGAAGGAACCCATGATGGCAGTGTGTAAACCAACGTGTGGGGTTGTTCAGCGATGGACGCGTACGCAATGGATTGTGGAATGAGTGTGAGACCCACTGTGATACCCGCGATCATGTCCTGCAGGAAACACATCTTTGTGTAGTTCGGTAACCAACTAAGGATTCGCAGTCTTTTGTAGAGGAGTTTGCGCATTTTGGAAGGTGGCTGTTGGCCGTCCGCTTCGTGTACCACTGCAACGTGAATTTCGTTATTTTAAAACCACGGGATAACTGTGAACAACTTTACTTTTAAGCTTCTGATGTTGATCGGCACTGGGAAATTGACTATTTTGCACAGGTGCAGGTCGGGCGCATGCCGCTGGCGAGAAATTTGCGAACGGGCGGCGATCACACTTATAAGGTGTCCGCGCGCGCGACGTATCCAGGAGATTTCGCCGTAAACAATTAAATTCTACTTGATTTATATGCGGCCTTCTGTGCAAACAATGTTCGGTAAACACTTGCTGCTCTGAGATAAACTACGACGTTCAATGCCACAAGAGCATTTCATTTTCCTTCGCTGCGTATATTTCGGTGGTTTTCGGAACCCCGCGTACGCGCGCGCCACACACGATATAATTCGTCATCGCATTTAGGTAAATTTTCCAAAAGTAAATTTCCCAACCACTGATAACACCACGCCGAAGCGTCGAAGGTGATTTGATCTGGGGCAGTTCAAACCGCCATTAACTAGAACAAGCTGCAATGCAATATCAGCCCAAACTTAATTCTGTCTTCACCCAGAAGACAAACCAATAATGGCATTATGTAAGTCTAAAAACTGAACTATTTTTGTCCATGACCGATTTAAAAAAACATCCCGCCGTAGAAAAATTGGGTTAAGTAAAACGAAATTCGTCACCATTGTTGGGCATTTCCCACGAATTTAACGGTGGCATGATTCAAACAGAGTACATTTATGAAAGTAGAAAGCAAACAATGCTAAGTAAACGATGAACGAGATAAGCTGATCATGAAAATCAGTGGCAGGAATGATCAAGGACGAGGACAACACCAGGATGTGGGCAATGGCAGCTGGCGCAGCGCAGGATGCGGATTACCGCGCGCGCCATGTTTACCTGCGGAATGGAACAACATGCACGCCGATGAGCGCACACAAAAATACGCGCGTTAATAATAATTAACGCTCTATTTGCACAGCCCGCGTTTATTTGTTGTTTATTAATGGTCCCAGCGCCCCGCTAGCGACGTCACGCGTGGCGAGTAACCACGCGACGGCGCTATAAATCAATCAGTGAATTTCGTGCAACAAACAGAATTCCTCTATCATTACGTTATTAACTTTGACAATCACGAAAAGCTGTATTTCAGTACGAACATATTCGAACATGTGTTGAGAATTTCAGTTATCTGAAAACGATATGAGAAAAACTCGGAATTTTTCGATGACAATGAACGAGTTACCCCAATTGGGTGTTGTTGTGGTATTGGCTAACTAAAATTTATCCAGCTCCCCGAAGAGATGGTGATCTAGGGTCCATCTTGACAAAGACGCAATTTCGTTGGAATATTTTGATTCCTTCGTCAATCTTCTGCAGGTCGCCTTCGATGTCAATCTTCCGTTGTTGCATCTTCAATGTGTCACTGCGCACAGGCAGCATATTCAGCTCTTGAATTTTTCTGCATATCCTGTCACAAACAGAAAAGACAACTCAAAACTTATAACATACTACAAAGTGGGTTTTGCTTACTTTCCCGCAGAACACGAAGAGTTTCCTTCCGTTTGTCGTCTGGTAATATAACGTGTCCAGGAGGGCAGGGGATTGACTTCGGCGGATCAGCAGACCCTACGAGTGCCTCCGATGAATTTACCGATGGCGGTTCCTCAGACTCGCGTCGAGCCCTGATATACTTTGGCGGAACACCTTTCTTGTAGTTGATTGGTAACTGATTGCGGGATAGGACATTATTGGACTTAGCAGGACGCCAACTCTTCACAGCATTAATATTCTGGCGGATGAAATCCAGTTGGTCGGCATTATCAGTCAGAACCGGTTCCGGGTACATCACAGTAATGTCACCGTGCCCATGATCCTGCTGGGAGGGGCGTTTTGTATCCGTATACGTGGTGTCGCCAGTTTCAAAATCCTGAGTATTTGTTTGAATGCTACGATGTGATATATTGTTATTCTGCCGACAAAGAAAGATTTTTTCAAGAAAGGATTTTGTTGGTGGATGGTTGGGTCCTCACCGCAACCTCAGACATTTGTCGGGTACGCAATTCCATCTGATTCCCGGGTCGACGTGACTGTTTCTGTCCGAGTAGTCTAGCTGGGCGGTTTTCCAGTTGTGACATGGATGCGCTACCCGGAACTCTGGGGACAGTCAGTGGGGCAGAATTGCCCCCCATACGCAGTTCCGGCTGGTGCATCGTGCGAATGCGCATCACATTTTCACGTATAAAATTCCGCTTGTGGGGTACCGCTGCACCAATCAGAATTTGTGACTCGTGCGAATTAGACAGCTGGGTGTTTACTTACGCTTGTCCGGAAAGATTCCTCGCAGAGAAGACTGTTTCATCGCGGTAGATTGCTTCTACGTATATTTATCTTCGCTTCTGGTAAGTGTTGCGTCTATTTAATTTGCGTTCAACCCTATAAAACGACCGAAAAGAATGAATTTAATGTGTGTTCGGACGGAGCGAAATCGCGGCTCGTGAATGAATGAGAAAATTCATTCGTGCAAACAGAAAAACAAATGGGTTAGCGACGATGAACTTGTGCATGACTACTGCGATCGCAAATGTTTGTGCACATGTAAGGTTACCATGGTAACTAATACCATACACCCGCAACCCACTATACTACCTTCACCCTCATGTATTCCGCAAGCAATTCGAACTAATTATTAACAAATGTTTATTATTCTCAAAAAAACACATTAATATCCCAGATATATTTCCATTAATTAGAATATAAATAGTCATCGAAACTGCACAGCTACTACTTGAAAATAAAAATAACAAATAAACGAATAGATTATGATAACAAGTGAAATGGGTAATGCCCAGGGAAATATAAATAAGTCTCAAGAGCGACGGTTCAGCGGCATTTGGCGCTGATCTGATCAATGAGGGCATCCACTCTCGCGCTGGTGCCTTTGAAAATCTTTGGGTCGGGTCCAATCATCTGGATGAGCTGGGGTACCTCCTGACGAGAGATCTGCACGAATTTCGCCATCGCTTTCATGGTGCGGAAGAGATTTTCTTCGCTGGGTTTATTCTGGAAGTACTGCAGTAATGCCATGGCCAGTTCCACAGCGACGTCATCAAACACCTGCAATGAGCACACATAAGGTGAGTACTTATGCCCACGTCCACTACCATCTTCTCGATAATTCCGCACAGCAACGTGTAGTAGCATTAATATAACGCAAAGTGTTAACACATGGCCGGATGCCAACGCCATAAAGTTAGAGCTACCGCCGCTGAATGTTGACATTCAAATGTTTAAAAATACGATTTGATGATGTTTTAACGAGCGAAAACAAAATTTGCCACAACGTTCACGGGTCTACCTTCGACAGACTGCCTGCGGGTAGAATCTGACGGATCCGATAATTTTGAACATTTTCTGCGAACAAAACAAGCAACAAGAAGAAACGTATCACAGACAACGCGAATTTACGACAACGCGAAATAGTAGAATAAAAGAGATGTAGGGTAGGGTGACATGGGTGCAGAGGGATAAATAAAGTAACCAAAGAGATACAGACCACGGTTTTACCTCCTTGCAAGCGAGGTTGTGGATGATCGCGGCGCCGCGATCCTGCAGTTCTGGAGCATCAGCCAGCAGGGAGTGTACAGCAACCTTAGTCGTCACCCGAATATTACTCGTCTGTTGACCGTTGTACTGCCATTCAGAGATGTACAGCAGCCATTCAGATGAGCTCAGGTTTTCGAACATATTGCACACAAGGGTGGCAAGCGCCACCTGCTCGTCGAAACCGTGTCTGTCGATGTCAAACGCGCAGTTCATTAGAATATGGTCACGACGATCCTGATGCAGCAGGAGAATCACGTCGTCCTTCAACGCCGCCAACGCCAGGACATTTAGGGTGCGGACTCGCACCTCGGCTGACATCTCCTTGTCATTCAACAGACGACCTTCAAAAATCAAGAAAATAAACACGAGATATGAATACGATGTCCACAATCGACTTACCTATGAAACATAGGAAGTTTTCTCCCAACACCCAGCTACCTTCATCTTCCAACATAAACTTATGCAGCTCCTCCAGAGAAGTTTGTTCTTGAGGGTTGAGTTTACCGTCGATAAGACCCACAAGGGCATCAAATTCGACATTGATCTGCTCGGGAAATACAGGGTAACTGTTTGTAATTATACAGAATTTGGTTGCCTTACATCAAGGCCATCCTTGTAGATGATGGGGGTCGCGATTTTTCTTCCGCTCTTCTTCCTGGCGTTTCTCCTCCTCTTCTAATTGCAACGCCTGTTCAGATGGCAGGGCGTCGCCGTTCACGGCACCTTCTGCCATAATGATAGGTTCCTGTTGGCAGAACATGCAATGTAATACGCTGAAGATGACAATTTCGTGGGTGGAGACGTACTTCTAAATCGGGTGCGAGCGTGTAACCGGCTTTCAGTAACTTTTGCGTTTCTTCTCGCGCTTGCGGTCCTTCTTCGCGAGCTTCTCGTTGAGTCGCTTACGCCGCTCCTCGTTCAGGAATGAATTGTATCTAAAATGCGCAATGGAAACATTCGAAACTAAAATTAACGCAACTGAACGAACGCAAAGCACCACAAACTGAACACGGCAAGCAAAGTAACACACAAAGCGGGAGTGATAAGTTAATCAAGCGCTTCACCAGGGAAAGTATGAGTTGCTTCTCATTGAATATATTTTCGTCTCCACAAGCTTGGCCAGAACGTCGTGAAAATACGGCATTTCTTCACATTCTCATTGGTAACAGGTGAATAATGTACAAAACAAACGACTACTGTCTGACACACAACAATAAACGTCAATGAACAGAGAAAGAGAGATTCCTGAGTGAACGCTACAAGTTGACGATCGACCCACTCGCGATGAGCAAGAACACATCTTGTTGCAATTGACTACACCACCCACAGCCCGAGCAGCGTCCTGTTATTGTATTATCCAACGAAGCCAATCGCTTACGCGCCGGGTAACAAGCATCATTATTGTTAGTTAATTACTACAGCTACTCGGATTTCTGCCCACCGGCCGCCGGCGAGACGCAGCGAAAACATGTCGCTGGCGGCCGGGGTGGCGCACCGCAGTTCAAATAACAACGGGTAATCGTGTGCTAGCAGTAGCAGCGCATGTTATATTAAGCGGTTGGCGTTATTATCGTGTTCGGTGTGGCGCAGTGCGGCGCTCATTTCTCGCCGCGCCGGCCGGCCGCCCGCTCTGACCTGGCTTCTTCAATCTGCGTGTTGAGGGCCTCCAAGTCGGGGCTCTCGGCACGGGTGCGTGCGCCCTGCTCGCTGGCGATCGGTCGTGCGCTCTGCTCCAGCTGCTGGACTAGTGGTAGTAGCAGGCTGTTGCCCAGGCTGGTCTGCAACACCTCGTTGGGCAGTTCAAGAATATACTTCGGGATCCCCTTGCCACACAGGAACTGCGCAAGCTCGTCGGAGAAGTTGTTGCAGTTGTGAGAGAGCAGATTATATGTGGTCGGGCTGCAAATCAAAATGGCGGCTAGCGAAACCACGAGTCATCGCTAGTGAGCTTGCGCACTTACCCGTAACTGGTGTCGCCCAGGCCGTTCAGGTACTCGATGAAGACAGGGTATGGAATCTGCGTGTCCCCAAGGATGATCTTCTGCAGGGTTGGCCAAGCGCGGTGGACGCCTGCAACGAAGAACGCCGAACAAAGTTAAACAATGCGTGCGGAGCGCGCGATGCCGGCGAAAGTTGTGAGGGCGCGCGCGCTACTACCGCCGCCGGTGACCAACGCGGGGTATTTTTAGCGGCGGGCCAAATTTAGACACAACTCAAACAAGCCGGCCAGCCATCTACTACAAACAACCTCAACTAATCACGCCAGTATATTTAGGCGGCGAACTCACAACGCACTCGTGACCGAATTGTGCGCAGGAATCTCATCAAGAAGCCACCGACAAAAGCAATAAAACAATCGTGTTATGCGGAAAACTATTCCTACTTGGCAACGACTTTCATACGCGTGGGATTTATTGCAATTCAACGATACATGCATGAAATAATATCTATTAATCTATTTAGTTTGGTTAGAAGCATTAATACAACATGCATGAAGCTAAAATAAAACTGAAAATGGCACAGCTTGCGTAAAAATACGTAAATCAAAGCAATAATCCCACGTTTTTCGGCAACCTGGCGAAAACATGACCTTTTCCGGTGCCAAAATCAATTTTCATGGTCAAGTAATACTTAATCAACAACAACATTGAACAATTTCGGCAGCAATACTTACTGGTGAGCAACTTTCCACACCGGATGATCCGAAAAATACTCGCGTTCATAAACGATAATTGACGTGTGCCAGACTCCATCAATCTTTTTACCTAAAACATAGTGAGAGAATTACTAGAAAATTCCATTTGGATTCAACTATGCGTCCATCATAACCTCCTCTTAATATAGCTACAGAATATATCGTCTTACCGATGAGGATCGGTGACATGATAGCGGCCATGCCCTTCGAGAGGTCGTAGATGTAGAGCTCTACTTTGTTACTCGCCATCTTCAAGGAGTACCTGGGTGTTGAGGGATTGATGGGAGCGCGCGGTGTGCGCTAGATGCGGATGGAGCTCGACGATGACTCGCACGTTCAGTCGACCTTCGCACGCGTTTGGAACTGGCGTGTTTATTCACGTTCACTTTTTATCTATGTTGGTAGCTACCTGAGGGGATTCCAACGGTCTGGAACGCTCGTGGGGCCACGCGTTTCGTTTCCTGACAATCCTGTCTATCGCGTCGATAGTATGCGCCCTTTGTGCGCTTACTATGTCACTGGGTTACCGCTACTTTCCCGCTCGCGCGGACTGCAACAAAGAGGGTGCTTTGGTAAAGACCGACCGGGTGTGGGGGTGCGAAAATCGTGCTGGAATGCGCATGCACGATGCACAAAATTTGAATGGCGGTTATTATGTGCTGTGTTAGCTGATTTCTAGGCAACGGTTAATTTTTTATTCATTGTTTTCTAATAGCTTTGGTAGCCATCTTGACTTCCGTTGGGAATTCAATAGATAATAGATTTAAATAAGTCATTACCGGTTAATCAATAACAGCTAAATAGTTTATTAGTTGAATGAGAATGAGGCGTTGTTGTTGAATAATTGAAATTACCTGCGGAAAGTTTGTTTATGTGTTTGTTGTCACACGTCCAACGGCAACAAAGTTGTTGCACTTTCTTTGAGAGTTCTTGCACCAGCCGCTGACGGTTTGTCGTTCGCGTGCGGGTACTAGCAATGTGCACTTAGTCGATTAGTACGTCGAGAGCACTGGCTGTGCGCTAGGGAAAATCCTTGCAGCCGATGGGAATCTGAATTTTCGCCTACATATTTTCTATAAATATTTAGGTGCGCGCAGGGCCGCCTTCGGCGCTCGGTCGAGGACAATACGTAAGGTGAGTGGAAGCAGAGCGTCAACGTACCACCATTTTATTTTTTACTCATTTATACAAATAAAACGGGAAACAATAAATTGTATAGCGTTTCAAACTAATCATTTACTGTTGATATTACGACAGTTATTGAATTTGATTATAATTTTGTGTCTGCATAAAAATGTTTGCATTATTTGTGTGTTTCTAAAGTTTACGGCGGAAAATTTGTTGATGCGGCCATGCTGTGCTTACCTGAATGCATCGCGCGCGCGAAAACGCAAAACCGACGTCCGCGCGGAATTTGTACCAATAATAGCCACACAAAACGAAAAACGCAAAACGCGCAGAAATGAGAAACGTTACGTGTGCTGGGGCGCTGAGTAAATAGTGTCACCGGCTATAAATACACGTGAATTACGCCCAATCAACACAAACACGAATTGAAAGGGTTTTTCTCGAAATTTGTATTGCAACACATATTAAGTGCTAGATAAATGTGGTAAAATAACGAAATTCCTGAAAACGTTCCTGCGTTTGTAATTTTAGAAAAACGTTGAAGAACATTTGGAATGTTTAAAATTCCACAGCAACATTTGTTGCTTCAATAATTAAATACTATATAAATTAGTAGTTTATATAAAAATAAGTGAAATATAAAGAATGTAGCATTGTTTTTGGAACAAATTTTATTTGTTTTAGGTATTCCCAAAAGTTTTATTAATTTGTTTGTTGAGTTGCATACATTGCGAGAAAGGTTGGTGGTTGACAAACCTGCCGCCTGGCACCACGCAGCTGACGTGTTTTTGATTACAATTCCAAGACGGAGTCGCGCACAATCTGCAAGCATATAAATGAAGTCGCCGCTGGATTATTAAAAGTTATAATTAAACCACGCCATAATGGAGTATTTCCGCAGCGGTTTAAAATCAGTGCTGGGTGCCCCGCCGCCAGAAACCCAACCGACCGGCGCCGAAACGGTAAGTCTTCACCAACGACGTCCACATCTTCAACCTCTGCATGTTTATCTCTGAAATTCTTTTAAAAATATCAGGTGGATCGCTTAGTCAACCGTGTCACTTCCTCTACGTTGTTGGAAGACCGTCGTGATGCTTGCAGAGCACTCAAAGCAATGTCCAGAAAATACCGCCTTGAAGTAGGCGCCCAAGGCATGGATGCTCTTCAACAGATCTTGGAGATTGATCGCAGTGACTGTGAGATTATTGGCTACTGCCTGGACACACTTTGCAACATCACCTCAAAGGAGAAATTTAAGGAAGAAGCAGATGAGAGGGTAAACAACATGAATCTTGGTGAACAATTCACTGAGATGTTTGTGAAGAACCCACACAATGTGGGTTTAGTCTTGGGCTTTCTAGAGGAGTACGATTTCCGCGTGCGTTGGCCAGCGGTGAAACTCCTCACATCTTTACTTGCCAGCAAACCTAAAGAAATACAGGATATTATTCTAGTCAGCCCAATGGGCGTCTCTAAGTTGATGGATCTACTGCAAGAGAACCGTGAGGTGATTCGCAATGACGCTTTGCTACTTCTTGCGCAACTCACCAAGAGTAACGCGAATATTCAAAAATTGTTGCGTTCGAAAACGCCTTCGATCGGCTGTTCGACGTCATCAAAGAAGAAGGCTTCATGGAAGGTGGTATTGTTGTCGAGGATTGTTTGCTGCTTATGTTGAACCTCCTCAAGAACAACACAAGCAATATTAACTTCTTTAAAGAAGGCTCCTATATTCAACGGCTTGCGCCAATGTTTGAGATTCCTGAAAATGTCGAAGATGTCGGTTGGAGTCCGCAGAAAGTTTCAAACTTTCATTGTTGTCTGCAGCTGGTGCGTTGTTTGGTCTCACCGAACAACCCAATACAGATCACATCATCATCGCAGAAAACAATGCGGAATGCGAATTTACTCGAAGCGCTGTGTAATATTTTGATGGCATCCGGCGTGCCTGCGGATATTCTCACTGAAACGATTAATACGGTAGGAGAGGTGATTCGCGGCCATCTTGCTAACCAAGAATACTTTGCAAATGTCACTGCGCCAAGCAATCCACCACGTCCTGCGATTGTGGTGCTACTGATGAGTATGGTGAATGAAAAGCAGCCGTTTTCTTTACGTTGTGCTGTCTTATACTGCTTCCAGTGCTTCCTTTTCAAGAACGAAATTGGGCAATCGCAGGTAGTGCAAACTTTATTGCCGAGTTCAGTAGCAGTGTCTACCCTAACAACAGGGCAATTATTATGTGGTGGGTTGTTTAGTCAAGACGCATTGAGTAATTGGTTTTCTGCCATTGCGCTGTCTCACTGTCTGATTGAAAACCCCGCGCAGAAGGAACAACTAATGCGGGTACTCCTCGCGCCTAATCTTGGGGCACAACCGGTAACTCTTGTCCATCAAGCTGCAACTTTCCTCCAGCAAACAAATAAATTCCAGGCGAAACTTGGTATTTTGATGCTGCTCGCAATGTGGATGGCGCACTGTCCACCAGCTGTGCAGTTATATTTGAATGTCCCTGGGGCGGTGGCTTTTCTCACAGCTCAAACATCAGCCGATGATTATGACAACAATGAGGAATTATTACAAGGGTTGTGTGCATTTTGATGGGTTTGTGCATTGCTTTTAACGACAACACGGTGGCAAATTATTCACGGGAGAATCTAAGTCAATTGATCGAAAAACGCGTCACGATGGAAACGTACGCTGCGAAATTGAGTCTTATTTCGCGGCACGAGGTGTATGCAAAGGCAGCAAAGCAACCACAAATTCAAGCTAAGGACGGCAGTGAATTACTACTAGAGTTTGAGTTTTGTAAACTCTTCAAGGCACTAGAAAGCGTTATTATGAACGCGTTAGGAATGCAAAGAGATCTTTCGAATGGTATTTCCGAACTCAGTTTGAGCGATCGCGAGAACGCATTGCTTTGCAATATAAAGACTTGATTCGCGAGCAGGACAAGCGATTCAACCAACTACAAAAGGACTATGAGGTGGCAAATCAAGACAGAGATCTGTTAAAGGTAGTTATAATAAATTGAACACTAAACACTTTTATTTATTTTTATTTTTCATTCCGCAGGCTGAAATTGAAGAACTGAAGTTATTAAACGCGCAATACAAGGACGAGAACACAATTTACAAGGCACAGATTACTACTAGTTCTGGCACATCTCAGCCAAATGTAAATGTGAACCTGGATCACTTCCATGAAACCATAGCGCGATTGCAAACGGAGAATGCATCCAAGACCGGCGAACTGGAGATGCTTCGCAAGGATCAAGAGGATCTGCTGGAGTTGTTAAGCGACCAGGATTCGAAACTGAATGCATTTAAGGCACGTTTGCGGCAATTGGGCGAAAATGTTGACGACTCCGCGTCGGAAGGCGAAGCGGATAACGCTGGAGTTGAGCCTTGAACGAGGAGCCATTTATTTTATACTGGAACTGCACTATCGGTATTATTTTCAAATTATATTGTGAATTGTTTCGTCATAATACATTTATGTCACCACATTGATCTATGTAAATAATTTAATAATACATTAATTGTATAAGCTCAACATATTTAAAAGAGATTTTCTTCTTGTAAAAACACGGGAACTCAAGCAAAGACATGTAAAGAAGGAAGAAGAGTGTGATATCTTCGGCTGATCCGTAAAAGTGGTGGGGTACGCCGCGCAAAATACTGTGGCATCCAGGCCCTTTGTTATATTAGATTTTTATTCGCATCATATCTTCCCTACGTGTAAATAAATAAACGCTGACGGTCGATTAAGCATAAAATATTTACGAGCGGCTCTAATTGCGTTTCTAAAATAGATAATCGATTGTTGTTGCTGTAATGCAAAGTTTTCGGTCGCTTGCGGTAGAAAAAAATTAAAATTGTGTAAATCATGCTAACTTGATGAAGCTGGCGCACTAAATGAACACAGCCAAGTTTTTAATTAGTTTGTAGGCGTTAATGCAACGCAGCGCGTTAACTGCGTAAACCGGCAATAAAACACTTAAATTTCATTCAGTTTTATTGTATGCCGGCGCGACAGGCGTTCACTGGAACCGTGACTTGGGAAATTTGAACATAATCGTTGTTTCTACTCATATAGATTTACCGAAATGATAACTTTCGTTTGGTTTACTCTTTATCTAAAATAAATTTAGTAACACACCCTTGCGGCGGTAGATAGAAACCTAAAGCGACGCCGACGCCTCAAATTGGGCACGCATGTCATGCGCGCGTCGTCATCGCGACGCCTCCGACGGTTTGTCGATGTCAACCTACAGCGGGGACCGCAGGACAGACACACAACTCTGTGGAACGCTTGCAGTGCGATACGAATACATTGTACGAATAGAAGCAGTCGGCAGCGGGACGCGCCGCATGCACGCGACCGACAAATATAAGCGGAGCGCGCGTCGACGCGTTTATCAGTGCGCGGCGCCCGGCCGGCGTGTGCAGTTTGTGTCGAGTGCTGTAGTGCGATGGCTGGCAAGGGAAGAGGAGGCACGGCGCCGGACGCCGACGCGCTCGATAAGACCGACGGCATTCATGTTAAGAGCGTCATTCCAAAGAAACGGTAACTATACGAACGTGGGTGGGCCCACTATTACTCATTCACAACTCAATTAACGATTATCCGTTCACCCGGTCTTTCCTGCCACACTTTTGTTTACATACAATACCATTGAAAATGTGTTGACGCCTTGCCGCACTCGATTCGAGATTGCATCTTATTGATTCTAAGTTTACTCATTCCGAAACCAATCAATCGTTGTGTTATCACCAAACACACAGGTTTTATTTGTTTTACTCACTTATCTGTGATCATTTGCTTCATAAAACGATTCGAATCGAGACTTCCGGTGGGAATTTGAAAATCTGTGTGACGTGCATCTTCGAGGAGTTGAAATTGTTGAAATATTTATACACGAGTGAACAGATTCTGAATGCACGCCCTCCGACCGGGTGCACAACGCCGCTTGTATTTTATTTTTATCGATTTTCTACACGCCGTACTCCGTTCTTTCCATAATGTGCATCAGCTTCTAATTCAACCCTTCGTAGTGGTGGTACCCCAACTATCGAGTCATTCATCCCCACATGTGTGTAACACACGCGCGTGTCTGTTCATTCTCATGCATGATATATTAGAAACGAAGAGAATGTTTTTATTTGATTTTATTGCTTGCAAAATGTTTTATTCCGATGATTCATGATTGTTTTCTATAGAATTTGACCTATTGCTACACACCATGACATCACACTACGCCTTCAAAGATGAATAATTTTCTTGTGTTTTGTTCTTGTGTAAATTAACTAGTTTTATGCGTTTTACGATTATGATATTTTTTCCGTTTGCGTTAACTCATAATTGTCTCCAAATTCGTTCTGCTGATTACATTGTAAAAGCAAACTCCATTAACTCGCACATGTTTTAATTAATTGTATTCTTAACGTAGGCAAGAGTTACTCAAATGGAACGGCTGGGGCTACCAAGACTCGAAATTCGAAATTAAAACGGCATCATCCATTTTACCGGCGACCGGTACCCGATTGGCGAATTACAGTTGCCATATTTCACGCAGTTCGTCCACGATACCTTTGCGCTTGATTTAAAGAAACCCGCTAGAACTGCGCAGCCGCTACCGACTGAAGACGCGTACCCATCGCGTATCACCAGCGAACACATAGAACACCTGAAAAGTTAGGAGTGGACTATTCTATAGATGTGGTGGATCGCATTGTGCGAGCGCACGGCCAAACTTTGCACGATATTCAAACCTTGCGTGAAGGTAAGTTTGAACGTATCCCCGACGTGGTGGTATGGCCAAAGTGTCATGGCGATGTGGTCCGAATCGTGGATATGGCCCATCAGAACGATCTGGTTATTATTCCCTATGGCGGTGGGACAGCGGTTTCCGGTGCCGTGGAATGCCCAGCACGTGAACCACGTTGTATCGTGGCGTTGGATACGTCCCAGATGAATCGCATTCTCTGGGTGGACCGGGAGAATCTTGTGGCTTGCTGTGAAAGCGGGATTGTGGGACAGGATCTGGAGCGGGAACTAGGGCGACTTGGATTTACAACTGGTCATGAGCCCGACAGTTACGAATTTTCTAGTCTTGAGGTTGGGTAGCGACGAGGGCGTCTGGAATGAAGAAAAATGTTTACGGTAATATCGAAGATCTGGTGGTGCATGTCCGCATGGTGACACCCCGCGGAGTGTTGGAGAAAAACTGCCAGGTTCCTCGCATGTCCTGTGGACCAGATTTTAACCACTTGATCCTTGGAAGTGAGGGTTGTCTCGGTGTTGTCACTGAGGTGGTATTAAAGATTCGCCCGTTGCCGGAATGTAAACGATTCGGATCGATTGTTTTTCCTGATTTTGAAGCAGGTGTACGATGTATGCGGGAAATTGCGAAAGAAAGATGTCAGCCTGCGTCTGTGAGACTGATGGACAACGAGCAATTCAAGTTCGGGCAGAGTCTCAAAGCGGTACCTGGATTCTTTGCATCAATTAGCGACGGGTTTAAGAAATTCTACGTCACCAAATTGAAAGGGTTTGACGTGCATAGCATGTGTGTGATGACGCTTCTCTTCGAGGGACATCGGAAAGAAGTGGAAGCGCACGAAAAACGTATCAATGACATTGCCGCCAAACACGGCGGATTACCCGCAGGAGAAACAAATGGTCTTCGCGGTTACATGCTCACGTTTGTTATCGCTTACATTCGAGTAAGTTTCAGAACATTTTTCCATTCTTTTAGAGTTTAATTGATTATTTTCTACAGGACCTGGGGTCGGAGTATAATATTGTAGCTGAGTCCTTTGAGACATCTGTTCCATGGGATCGTGCTGTACAACTCTGCAGGAATGTGAAACACACCATCGCACGAGAATGCAATCGTCGCGGGATTACGCACAGTCTGTGTTCCTGCCGCGTGACGCAGACTTACGATGCCGGATGCGTGATATACTTTTACTTCGGCTTCCGGTACGGGGACCAACAAGATCCAGTGCGAACATACGCCGAAATTGAGGATGAGGCACGCGAGGAGATCATCGCTTCCGGCGGAAGCATTTCTCACCATCACGGGGTGGGAAAACTGCGCAAACGTTGGTATCCTGCGACTGTGAGCGAAGTTGGCGTCGGCCTTTTCAATGCCGCCAAGCGTGAGCTTGATCCGCGCAATGTGTTCGCAATTGGAAACCTCGTCGAGGCCAAGTTGTAATCGAGCACCCCACGCGCGCGAAATTTGCGCGCAGCTCATCAAGTACAATTCTTATAAGCATCGATGTTTGTAAATTGCCAAAGGGAGTGATGTTAGTTTAATTGAGGATTTGATGTTGTAATTTTTGGTGCCCATGTGTGATTTCTACCCAGGAATGGCTGCTACTTATTTTAAAATTAAGCCGTATTATAAGTTCACACCGATTTACACGAACCAGAGCAATACGAGTATTTTATTTGCATCCAGCGTGTTGGCGTACTTTTCAATTTGCGATTTGTACTCGATTACGACACACAATAATTGCGCACCAAGCAGTGTCGACTAAACGAGTAGGTTACAATTTTTGTGAACATGCACATTGTTATTCTCATGTTCGTGTCGCATAATAATAAACAGATGTGTTTTCAGTATAAGTACAACACACAAGTAACAACAAGTCAATTGTTTGACTCGCAAATAATTAAACAATTTGTTTGACATTCATTATAATAATATTTTCTGTGTTTCTCAAGAAAAAATATTAAATTTGCGTATTATTTCAAAGAGTTTATTCCATGTGGGATTCCTGTGGAGTAAATTAGGTTGCCTACCATGATTACACGAATTTACTATTACTTGACATGTCCGGCATCTAAACAGGTTTGTCGATAAGCGTCCCGGACGCAACACACAAAAACATCTGATTTATTTACACCATGAGTAGAATTTAACATTCTTAACTTGAATCTCTGAATGTGCGGGTGGTGTGATTGGTTTTATCAGACACAAGCATGATCTCCATTTGTTTTGACGTGACGTAATCGACCACAACAAAACGACGACGTGTCGGTTTGTGAGCCGGGAGGCGGTGAAGTGGGCTCAACTGGCGTGTCATAAAACGTCTGAGAACCCCATCAAAAGTGCACAAACGTTAAACTCTTCTCCAGCGCACAATACGCCGCAGTGCGCGCCCAGTGACAACGGCTCGATTCGTGATTCGTGCGACGCATTCGATTGGGTCGCACGCATCAGCGGCAGTCGCGCTGACAACATTGATGTACGTGGTGCAACGCCAGTGTATCGTTCAGGGCCTCCGAGCCGTCGTCCACGTCTAGGTATTACTCGGTGTGATCGCGTAATTATCCGTGACGATGGCGTATCAGTCATTTATTGGGGAGTACATGAATATACCCTGGTCACCAGGGTGTACACAACAGCCTGCGTCATCACGACGATGATGGTCGTAAGTATCAACTTCTAGAAAACTCTATGCACGTTATACTGATTTTATCTTTACAGCAACTGGACTTGGTTACACCATTCCAACTGTATTTTAATCCGATATTGATATTCAAGAATTACCAAGTCACACGTCTGGTGACGACATTCCTGTTTTCGGCACGTTTGGCTTCAATTTTTCTTCAACATGATATTCACATATCGATATTGTCGTATGCTGGAGGAGGGTTCCTTTCGTGAGCGAACTGCTGATTTTGTGATGATGTTTCTATTTGGTGGTGTTTGTATGATTGTATCCTTTTTGAAGTGTATCATGTTCTTGGTATTTGCTTGCATTTTGCATAGTTTTCTTAATGAATTTAACAGTTCTTTGCATTTTTGTAAATTTATTGTTTCTTGGTCAAGCATTCACCATAATGTTGGTGTATGTTTGGTCTAGGAGGAATCCACTTGTTAGGCTCAACTTTTTGGATTAATTAATTTCTTTGTAAGTACATTTAATGAAATTTATATTGCGATATTAATTGGTTTGTTGTTTTAGGCGCCTTATCTACCGTGGGTGTTGTTAGCGTTTTCGTTACTATTGGGAAATCCAGTGTATGTAGACTTGATGGGAATCGCTGTTGGACACATTTACTACTTTTTGGAGGATGTGTTTCCGGACCAAGTCGGAGGATTCAAAATTTTAAAACTCCTCAAATATTGTGAGTAAACAAAATATTTTATTTATTTAAGTTTTATATTTGAAATGTGATCACTTGCATTATATTTAAATGAATTCATTGTAAAATATTGTAATACGTATTTCGGCCACGTTTGTCAAGTTGAAGTTGAAAATGCTTTATTATTCATGCATGATATCAATTCATGATTGCATTCTTATAGGATAATAACGCTTGTTGGTGCGTTTTCATTGCTGTTGTGGTTCTATTTTAGGAAAAACCTATTGGACCCTCGCCCGATTGATCCAGATTATCTGCCTCTTCCAGAGGACCGACCTGGAAATTACGAGTGGGGATTTAACCATCCCGCAAACGCACCGCCGCGCAATGACAACCACGAGGATTAGCAAGGCTGTGGCTTTAACCCGCGGATGTTTTCATACCATAAACAACAACATTTTATGACGGTCCAGTCGACTATTATGCCCTTCAAACGGTCATGAAACCAACTCTTTACATTGGGAAAGCTGGTGCGCGCAACGACAAAACAATAACAATTATTATCGCGACGATTATTAATCGCGGCCAACTACTAAGTCTAATTTATATTGGTGTGTGTGGGTAGGTCGCCATAGCAGGTGCGATCGAAATGAACATTATTGCTTGGTATCCACACTGGATTTTCAAGTCCTTGTCTTGTGAATACTGATATTAATGGATTTATGACATTTAGATTAATAATCTGGAAATACATGTTTATTTTAAGGTTTCTCTTTAAGGTATTTTGTTTCATTATTAGGTATTCTCGCTTGTGACAACGTTTGCGAGACGGTGACCGATCTAAATCTGCTGGACGACTCAGGTATATTTTAAGATTTAATTAGAGGCTCGAAGGAACTTCAATTCACGCCCAATGTTTGTGTCTAAATAGTCTAATGTTCTTACGCCGCACTTCAATTTGACCGTTTTTTCTTATCTGTTAGCAGCTGAGAAGCCTAGGATTGTAGTGTATGTAGTGTTTTAAACTACATACGTTACCGTGCGATGACGATACGTGTACAGTTTGCTCACGCTGCACAAATTAAATTAGTTTTGCTGTCGCCGACGGATGGTTCGCACGCGCTCGTCGCGATTTTCCTTTCTTAGAATTTAACTCGATAACGCGTATGATATTCGAATTTCTTAGTGATTATAGTTGTTGATTGTGTGTGGCTAATGATTTATCACGTATAAAATATTCGCGGAATGCAAATATAGTGTATTTTTTGTGAGGGAAGTGCCGTCGAAGATTACCATGCTGATTTTGGATTTTCATCAAGCTCGTTCGTGTATGGCGGAAGTTTTTTCGCGCTGGTACTACCAGTAAGTAAACTCAATAATAATCTCAACCACATCATCATATTTTCGTCATGTATATGCGCCAAGATCTTATTTCTTATTTTCTTATCTTCTTTGGGCGTGTAGGTGACTACGGTAAATTCGAAAATCTTAATATAACAATTAATTTTTGAATATTAATCTGCCTGATGATGCCACAGTGTGGTGAAACGTGTTGCAGTGTGTAATAAGTTTTGTGAAACCTTTAAGGTTTATCCTCTTATTTTAAGATCATTTTTGAAGTTTTATTTATGTTATAATTTGAAATAATAAAATATAGGCCTAAAATTTTCATGCCAAATATTGCTAGCGCTGCTGGTCCATCGATACATTTGGCTCGCAGATATAAATATTTTTTACCTCTGTTCCTACTCCAACGTGTGCTATGGTTGTTATAAGCGATGGGTCGGCGAGTTTTGATATTTTCGTAAGCTTTCTGTAATTGTTGGTTATCTCGGCAACCGTTTGCGACATTTCAATGCCCTTTTTTAAATTTATATAGCAAAAAAGTTTTTATAAGCGGTGGGTCTTTGCCGTCCCTGATAATCACTCCCAAAATTCCGCAAGTTTTGATATTTTCGTAAATTTTCTGTGGGAATTGCTCATTATCGGGAACCGTTTGCAAATTTATATAGCGGAAGAGTTTTTATAAGCGTTTGGTACCTGCTGGGTCCGGAAATTTTGCGAGAAGTTTCTGAAAACCGCCCCCAAAAGTTGGCAAGTATTGACTTTTTCGTACACTTGCTATGGAAATTATGTATTGTCTCGGGATCCATTTGAGCCATTTCAATATCATTGCAAATTTAGATAGTGCAAGATTTTTTATTAAGTGGGTTTCTAGCGGCCCTGAAAATTACGCAAAAATGCCTGAAATCTATCTATTTTGTTTTGTTCTGCTACAGTCAGATAACGCTTCCATCGATTTGATTTAAATTCATACCATACTTAATTTTTGTGGTTGTTTTTGTGCGCTGAGTTGCGGTGCGTACGTCACTTTTATGCACAACTTTTATATTAAACAATAACTTGCAACATATTTGTAATCGCATTTCTGTCGTATGCAAGTTATATGAACAGAACCCGATGACCAGACAAGAAACATTATTTAAGACGCAATCTCGATATTTATTTCCAGCGCAATACCTATTTCTTTAAAACGTAATTATTAATTTCTCTTGAAATCATTCTCTTAAAGTAACCTAATTGCGCATTTCCTGTTTCGTTGCGCATTTTATCTTCATATTTATTTGCAACGCAGATTCTAGCCAATATACTCGTAAATAGAGCGCAGACATAGACCTATGGGATTATTGTATTATCCAAGTTCGTCAAATAAACAAGTAAAAGTTAATAAGTTCTTCTGAATCGATCATCAAGAACCTACTTAATAAAATCCTAAAAACCAACACAAGTGAATCGAAGTCTCAACCAATTCTAATCCGCGATCGCGATTCGAACAAACAAATAAATTATATTTAATAATTCGTGAATTAATAACGAAATCGTTAATATAAAATGGCTTGACACGAACGGTGAATGTAATTTGCATATAGAAAAATGCCCCTCCATCTGCGGGTCGGTTATCAATCTGTCTTACTTAGTTTTGCTTAGTCGGTTGAGCGCTGTTGCGAGTGCGCACGTGTTTTGTTCATTAATCAAACGTGGAGACACTTTCTTGCGATTCTTGATATTTTGTAGCATTACTTAAATCGATTGACGATCAGGGGCATTTAGTAGTAACAGCCCACTGCAGCGCACAACGAATGATTGGAGTGATTCTTTGCGGTGCGCGCGTGGCGTCCGTCGGATATGTTCCGGTGACTATGGATACTCACTGGAGTTACATGAAGTTAAATTTATGTGTTTGACGTGAATACATTTAGAATCTCTGCGTGGAATAGTAAAGAAGTGCGTATTATCAATTCTACATACATTTTGCGGTAACGTGTTTGTGCACCTTGATTGATAGACGAACAAAGGAGTAAATAGCATCAAATAAAATTTTACTTTTATTTAATTTTTTAAATCTTACACAATGTTATTGCATTATAATAATTGAATATGGTTCAGTCAATAAAGGCTAATTTAATTTTACATTATTGCTTACATGTGTCCCTAGTGTTCACTTAGTCGTTTTCAGGATTAGTATTAAGTCATGTTGAACTCTAAGAGTAGGGTGGGTGCACCAGTGCCGCACCAGGCACCAGTAGTGCACCATTTCCACTTTCACATTAAAATATTAACGTTCTGTCGAATTTACCACTTCGCCACTTTTTTTACATTTGATAGAACTACCATACTTCTACGAAAAAAACCGACAAACACGCCATCCACATCAATTTTAAAAGCAAAATTCGTAACGACAATCGTGCACTTCGTTTCGAGCGGCCATTCTAATAAGCGACAAGTTATTAAAGTTTTCTTAAATCTGTTTAAATCTTTGTTTATATCAATTTCTGTAACCGCTTTTCTAATCAATTGCGTACTATGCATTGTGAAGCATTAATATTACGTTTTATTTAATCTGAAAATGCTAATTTAAATCAATAATTGCCATTGGTTAGTTAAAGTAGTTACAGTAGTTACTGGAACACGAATTGAATGATTTTCTAGTAATATACCATTTGGTCTACAACTGGTGATTAAGCTGTTTGATTTTTTTTCTTCTCTTACATGTAGGTTTACTTAATGCTGCAGTAAAATATTATAACAAAAAAATACCATTATCTACAATGTTCCAGTTGTAGACCAGTGGTTTACTACTGGTAGTATCTGTATCACGGGTTTATTCCAGTAATTGACCACCTATTGATGAAATAAATAAAGGTGCGAAAATAAAAGAAATATATCAAAAATACAACATACACCGCACTACGGTCATAAATAAAATAAAGTTAATACAATAATAAATAATCTTTTTTTCAGAAGTACTTTCATTGTTTTCTTTTTATTTTGATTTATTTTATATTTTTTGATTCATGTTAATTCATAAATATTGTGTTATAATTATGACACTTGTGCAAGTGATACGAATTTTTGTTAATTCTCTAGTTCTTAAATTAGTTAACAACATTATGAGCCTTGTAGCATTTAAGTATTAGAAACTTGAAACTTGTAGAATGATGAAAAGTTGTGATGATTATTACATAAAAAAAAAGTGGTTCACTATTGACTCAACGTCTGGTCTACTGCTGGTACAGTCTGGTCAACCTTAGGCACATTGCGATTTTCCTCATTTATTCCTAAATAACAAGAAACCGAACAGCTATTAAGAAAATTGAATTAAACTATATGATTCTATGGTAGACAAGGAGTATGTAATTCTTTTTTTGCAATGATTGTTGTAATAATTGAGTCAAAAATTTAAAATGTCGCTTAATCGCTTAATTTGTTACTGGTGCAGTCACCCTACACCATAGTATAGCATAGTATAGTACAATGTATTATATGTACGCTGTAGTATGTAGTATATATACAATGTATTATTAGTAGTACGCACCATTATTGTACTGTAAGATACGAAAGCATAAATAGAAGATACGAATGAGGTTCGGTAAGTAAGCCGTGTGGCACTCAGGCGTGCAGCACATGCCGCCGTACCGTAAGTGGGTGGTTCGATCCTCAGTTATAGAAGGCATTTTTCTCAAATATAAAAATAAATAGTGCTTATGTCAGTTCAGTAAGATGCAATGCAAAATAAGTAAGGCTCCCCGCACACTACAAACTTTTTATCGGCCGATAGTTTGGTCGGGTTGGGCTGTGAGCGCGCACACTACGCCAACTAAACAGTTGGGTTTGTGGTGAGTGCGCACACTAGACAACAGTCGGCCGACTGCACCAATACTCTGAGCGAACTAAATTGATCAAGTCGGCCGACTAATCAATCGGTAGGTGTGCGCGCTTGCGACAAGCTCCATACTGATATCGCAGTCGGCCGATAGTTGGCCTGGTTGGCCGATAGTTTAGTTTGAACGCAGTTGGGTAGCCCATCAAACTTGTTTATCGGCCGATACAAAATCGTTGTAGTATGCGGACTTGCATACATCTTCATACTGATTATAAGCCCGACCAAACTATCGGCCGATAAAAAGTTTGTAGTGTGCGGGGAGTCTTAGATTCCCAATGAGAAGATGCAATACAATATAGGAACAACGAAACAGAGGAGAAGAGGAGTATAAGAGAGAAGAGTAGTAGTTAGATGAGAGGACAGACTAGAAAGCCACCCCGAAGAGAACACAACAGGAATGGCTCGGATTTTTAAATTTTTTGGCGGCGTGTCGTTCTATAAGACAGGCACTGCTTCGATGTCTCCATTGCTCCCGGTCCGACCTACAGCTACGATGCCTCTACGCTTCATCCCCAGGATACTCAGGCATATCAACAATTTTTATG